ATAAATGAAGATGACACACATTTTTGCGTATCGTAATTTTAAATGTATAAAAAATTATATATTTATTAATTTTTAAATTAAATTTGCATTTAAAATCTCATAATAGAAATAAAATACTTTTTTGATAGATTTACTAATTTTCAAATTAAATAGCACATTAAAAGTCTCATAATACAAAATAAAATACCATAAACAATAAAGATAATTCATTGCACTAAGGACCATGTTAACAAAAGAATATAACATTATATACCATAAGTACCCTCAAGTAATCAATCTCTTACAATGTTACTAAAAATACCCTCAAGTAATCAATGTCTTACAAAGTTAAGAGACTTAGATACTCAGTTGGTATGTAATATGGCACTAAGAAGCCCAAAAATTGTTTGTGTTTTTCCTGTTCCTGGTGGATCCTACATGGACAAAAGGTAAGAATTAACATTTTCAAAGTACAATGCCTCAATAAGGAAATCAATGGTAACAGGCAAATCCGAATAAGAACAAACTTTATACATATATACATGGAAGTATTGTAATACACAATAAACAACAAATACCAAATTACCCTTTGCTTACCTTTTCTTATGGCCACCTCCAAAAGTGAGAACTTGATAAAAGATTTAGGTCACACATTCTCTCATCAAGCTCTGTATCCAAAAGTGAGAATTTGATAAAAGATTTTAAAAGTGGGAAAATATCAAGAATATAGAGGATAATACATTAAGAAAAAAAATTACCTTCACAAAGAGCAAGTTTCAACCTTCTTCCCCAACAATGTTTGAAAGCAAAAAGCTCATATATATTGATCTCTGCTAAAAGGATATATATTGCTTGATGATCTTTCTGCAAATTGAAGTACAAAATATATTAGATCATATGCCTAATATATTTTGTACTTCAATTTGCAGAAAGATCATCAAGCAATAGATATCCTTTTAGCAGAGATCGATATATAAAAGGGTTGTTATACTTGTTTACCTTTTCATCATCCTCATCACCAAAGTCCTCTTCATCAGCATCCTTTAAAAAAAGAATTTTCAAAAACAAAATCAGTAACACAATAATGAAGGAAGGTGGATTTCAAAAAAAGAAAAAGAAAAGGTTTTAAGAAAGGTTTTATTCAAGCAAACAATAAAAAGATGCTTATTTTTTTTATGCATGATTAATTAAAAGAATATATAATCTGAACATACTCCATCTTGAATTTAATCCATGTCATCTTCACATTGGGTCCCACTGAACCAGCTAAAGAAGTTGTTGCATCAAACCAATCAAGAAACAAAATATAGACCTTTTAGTTTATGTTTCTTGTTTACTTAACAAAAACAAGACTTAATCAAGAGAAAAAATATAGACCTTTTAGTTTATGTGTCATTGGCAGGGCTTCACCATAACATCTTCATTCATCTTTCATCACAAAGCCACAAAACTCTGTTAGCTTAGCTTCTTCACCATGATTTGAAAGCCAATTTGTATTTCTTTAAATGGGATTTAAATTTAATCAACTCTAATCCCTTATTTTACTAAATTGAGGCGAAAAGATCATTAAGTTTGACCCAACCATAATCACACCTGTCCCTAACCTTCTGTGTTGTGGAAAAAGCTAATCCAACCAAACCTCTTATCCTACCAACCTCTTTCTCAACTGCAGCCTTCAACTTAGCATCAACCTGAAACCAAACTCATTTTATACATTGACCAATTATAAAACACTTCATATCAATATCTGAAATTTTTAACTAATGACAAAAATAACCTTGTCAATGCAGCGATCAGCATCCACGAGATAACATAAGTAGAGAGTTTCTTGTACACATCAACCTCCGTATACTAGTCAAAAATTAAACAATCTTTTTTTTATAAAAAAAGAAATCTGGTAAAAAAAGCTTACGTAAACCCCAAAATCAGTTGGCCATGGTGTAGATTTCCAGATTGTTGCCGAGTCTGATTTTGCCAACTCCAATGGTTAGAATTGTGTGCCAAGAAGCCATTCGTATTGCTAGATTAATAAATAAAAATTAAGAACCCAAAATCCGTCAAAAAGGTATTTAAGCATTTTAAATTGTTTTTATATAAGATTCCATTAGAGAAAGGCAGTATAATTGAGGATGGCATACAAACACTGGTCCAGTGGAGAGTTCATTATTCCCATCAAACTAAAAATAGCATCAAAAGCATGAACCTTCAAGTCCAAAGTTAGATTAACCACCACACTTTCCAAACAAACAATATCATGCACCTGAATCAAATACACAAAAAATAATATCAAAAGAATTCAACATGCAGCCAAAAACAGGGTGGCATAGATAATTAGATTGTTACCTATAGTAATGTCACATAATGACCCAAGAACTTAAGATATATATGACAATACTTACAGGTTTGATTCAAAAACACACAAAGAGAAGAGGATAAGTACTCATCTGACGATTTTGAATCCTTTTCCCCACTTACTTCCTTTGACCCCATCCTTGATTCTTTTTACCATCTATTTTTTTCAACCAAATCCAATGCAATAGGAGGCTGAGAAAGCCTCATTCATCAACTACCTACCTGCAATGCAATAAACAAGTCAAATAAATTTAACTAGACATCTGGATTGAAGCATAAAAATCCAACATCCATATGATCTGGTTATGATTCATATGTTTCTAAATATATTAATTCTCTGATTATGGTGGTTTAAAGAATGATCAAGGAAGAAAAAAATTAAGTTTCAAATTGAGGGGTATAACAGTCAAAACAATGAATCTTAGTGGATTAAAGAACGAACATGGTAAAAGAAAAGGATATTAATTGGCAATATTTTGAATTTTAGCTAGCTTCAAAGGTAAGAAACATGACTGCGATAAAAAAGAAAAATATGATCTAATTTTGAAAATCTAATGAAGTAAACATGTAAACAGCATAATTGTCCATTATGTATAAAATTATGTGGATTGATAAATATATTTACTGAGACAGCATTTGCTGGAAAAAAAAAAAGCCCTAACAAAATATCAAGTTTATACATATAGAAACAAGAACACACCAGCTTAACTCACATAATAACTATGTTTCTGATTTATCCAATCCATGCAATAATGTTCCAATTTTTTTTTTTACCAATTTATGCAATCATCTTTCCCTTTTTAACCTATTTATGCAACTTATACACCCATGTTTCATCAGGTTAAACAGGTTGCTGGTAAAACATCGTATGTTTTGGTCCTACAATATATAATACACCGGTGCATATTTTCTAATAAAGAAACAAATTTGTTGCAGAATCGGGAAGAGGGTGTATGTTGTTTCATAAATATGCATATGCATTTAATCCTTTTAAATATAAAACACTCCAACCATAATTCACATGTCTACTTTTACCAATTTATTTTATGCAACATATATGCAGCTGACACGAATGAATTATACAACAAGTTAGGAGTAAAATAAGGGATGGTTGCATATTTAGTATGATAAATAAAGAGATTTGTGGCATAAGGGTGCATAAATAATAAGAAGCAAAAAGGAAGAGGAAAGCTGACATACATAATCAGCAAATTTCTGAATAGGTGCTTTTGACATAATACATAAGAGTGCTCCCACTATGTGACATAATCTGGACAGGTGATGACCATGAAGAACCATTTTTAGTTTGAACAGATGATGACATGGGCTTCTGCATTGGGACATGTACTTGATGTTGTTGTTGTTGAACAGAAGAACCACCACCTTTATTCTCTTGTTCTTTAAGAATGTACCTTAAGGAAGTATGCCTTGCAATCTTTCCTGAATCAGTTGACCAAGCTGGAGCAGGAGTAGGAGTTGCAGTCTCCCCTTTCCAGACAACAAAATCTCTAAATGAAGGACCTGAAGGGATAGCTGGCAGCAAAAAATCTCAGGCAAAAACTAGATGATATAATGATCAACTTGACAAATCATACCTAGACCTTCTATTGAAGAAACCCCTCAAAACTAGATGATATAATGATCAACTTGACAAATCATCCTAATCAATGAATCATTAAACCCTATACTCAATTAGGATGGACCAGAGCAACAATTAGAAAGCCTTTGGTACTGTTAAACCTAAGGATTCAAATAATGCCTAGATAGAAAAATGAATCTAATCAAGTAAAGTAACTAACGAACTATTGTAATCATACCATCTAATAGATAGCTTTGGGAAAAAGCCGGTGGTGATGTCCATAAGAATTTTTCGGAGGAACCCTACTCTCGAAGTGAAAATCAGAAAGAGCTTTCTGATCAGGAAGTGGCCTGAAAAGCAAGTCCTCAGTGAATTCTTCTCCATCGATTTGTTCTACTACTTCTCTCGTGGATTCAGAGGCAACGTGGAGTACAAACACTAACAGCATGAAGATGGAAAGTAAAGGAGCCATGAGACTCTTATAGAAGAACGAAAACATTGAGAAGTTAGAATCAAGAAAAACATACCTTAATAAGACACAGGGCTTGTAAATTTGAGCAATAGAAGCAGTGACCCTAAGGTCACCGGACCTAATGTTGCTGGCAAGGTTAGGCGAGGTGAGATTGCCGAAGATGAGGGGCTCCATCATCTGGGTGACGCTGGAAAGCGTTGGACGGTGGGGTGGGGCTAGACGGAGGTTAAAGGTGGGAGGCGCCAACACCAAGAGAAACATCGGAGGTGGGAGAAGCTGTCGACATCGAGAACTGAGAAGAAGAGAAAGGGTTTGTTGAAGTGAGAAGGAGAGAAAGGGAAGTTGAAGAGAGAACGAGCTGTACAGGAGGGCAATCGGGGCAAGTTCTTGAAAAAAATCCCTAGCTACTAGGGAAATTAAAGTGGAGGGAGAAAAAAAAGGAAGGCGGGGATTTTAAGTTTTTGGGATTTCATTTTCCCCGGATGGAACGCGCGTGTTCTATTAAAATTTATAAAGCGACGGTCGTAGACGACACGCAGGTGCCCTCCGTTTTTTTTTTTTTTTTTTTTTTTTTTTTTTTTTTTTGTTTAGACACTAATTTTAGGGCAAACAAAAATGCGCGTCTGAAATCCTTTAAATTTTGGAAGAGATGATATTATTTTTTAGACACTCACCTTTGCGTATCATAAATCACTGCGTGTCATGGTTCGCGCGTCGTAAAAGGCTATTTTTCTAGTAGTGAGCAGGTCAGGAGCAGACTTCAGACTGCTCAGATTCGGCAGAAGAGCTATGCTGACAGACGCCGATCGGACCTGGAGTTCCAGGTCGGGGATATGGTTCTCCTGAAGGTGTCACCTTGGAAAGGTGTCATCCAGTTTAGGAAGCGGGGCAAGTTGGGCCCCAGGTATATTGTTCCTTTTAGGGTTGCAGCCTGGGTGGACAACGTGACATATATGCTGGATCTTCCAGCCGAGCTTAGTCAGATCCGCAGTACCTTTCATGTCTCCCAGTTATGGGACTTGAAGTCTACTCAACGAGTCAAGAAGCATCGACTCAATGAGTAGGGCTGCTAGAGTGAAACACTAATTTTTAAGGTTTGCACCCTATTTAAAGACCTTAACACCCCCATTGTGGCCTCCCCCATCGCCTCCCTTAGTCCAAAAAACCCTAATTTGTGATCTTGATCTTTGTGAGTGTGTGTGAGTGAAAAAGGAGTGATTCTTTAGTATTTTCTTGAAGGAGTGGAAGCTAGAAGTGCTTGGTTGAAGGAAGGAGTTTTGGATCAAGAAGAAGAACTTCTTTTCCAGTTCATTTGAGGTATAAAGTCTATACCTTGTCTATTTATTTACTAGATCTCTTCATGGGGTAGTTTAGGGCTATATGGAGCATATTATGGAACCATTCATGGATGCAACCATGTTTTGGGGTAATAACTTCAGATCCAGAGTCTTTGAGGGACTCCATGGCATAAAGGTGCCAACTTTATGGCCATAAGAGTCCCATGCATCATATAAACCACTTTTTACGGCTTTTGAGTTAAATAACCCATGTATGCACGTAAAGTTAGAAACTTTACGTGATATATCGACCCTAGGGAACTAGATCTATGTTTTGGATGCAATAAGCCTGATTAAAAGCGACTGTATGGATTTAGTCTATGGGGGACTCAACAGTTGTTCATACAACTCGACAAGTTGGGTCGTGGTCCCATAACCTTTTCTGTTACTGAGTAAACTAGTTGATTCTAGGAGATGCCTCAGTGAGTTGGACTTGTTTCAGATTGAAGATTGAAGGAGAACCCGACGAATTTAAGGAGGAACTCGGCGAGTTAGGAGCAAAATGTCCCGAATCTCTATGAAGGAGAACTCGACGAGTTCAAGGAGGAACTCGATGAGTTTTGAGTAAAAGGACTCGACTACGTTATAATGAAGAAATCTACGAGTTCATGAAAGAAATCGACGAGTAGGATTGGGAGTTTCAAAGTTTTACGAGTCATGGAACTCAACGATTCATGAAAGAACTTGAAGAGTAAGATTGATATTTCAAGGTTTTACGGATTATGAGCTCGACGAGCTGATACACCAACTCGGCGAGTTGAGTCAACCAGGATGTTAACTTTACTTTGACCATTGACCATAGTTGACCCTTAAAGGGGTTATGAGTATGAAAGAGTAATTAAAGAAGATTGTTATGTGTAGGAGTTTGAGAGGAGTTGATCCTAGCATCGAGGACAGTTCAACTACTTCACGAAATTGAGGTGAGTTACCTTCCCGTAGAAGTGCGTCGAAGGCATCAATGTCGGCCCACTAGTAGAGTTATAGTAGAGATGAATGTCTTTGTGATAATTATCTGGTATGTCACTACCTATTACGCTTATGTTCTAGTATGCTATGATGTTATGCGATAGTGGTAGGAGAGGTAGGATAGACCCCATTACCAGTTGATAGGTTCGAAGGGGTATACCAACACCCGGATAAGCTAAGCAGTATATGACTTGTATGTTTATGGACTAGGATGCTATGTGGTAGGAGTAGGGGGTGAAATAGTCCCTGATATCGGTCGAAAGGATTGAAGGGGTAGGCCAGCACCCTGATATGCTAGGTGAGGTATCGGTCGACAGGACCGAAGGGGTAGGCCAGCACCCTGCTATACTAGGCAAGATACCAGTCAAAAGGACCAAAGGGGTAGGCTAGCACCCTGGTATGCTAGGCAAGTTACCGATTGAAAGAGACTGAAGGGGTAGCTAGTACCCGAATATGTTAGAAAGTATGTGCTATGTTTGGTATGTGGTATGATAGGGGAACTCACTAAGCTTTGTGCTTATGGTTTTCAGTTTTGGTTTCAGGTACTTCTTCCGCGAAGGGAAAGGAGTCGGCACGGTAGCAGCGCATCACACACATGATTTTCCGCATATGAGATTCTTTGGATTTGTACTTTGACATTGTTACTATGGTTTTTATGATATGCTTTTGAGACATATGATCTATGGTTTTTATGATATGAAATAACTTGATAATGTTTTCTTAAAAAAAATTGTTTTATGAATCGTTATATCAAAAATGAAATTTTTGGTCTAGAATTTTGGGATGCTACAATATCTTTTGCTCTACCTTTCTACATCTAGGTTTTATGCACATTTCCTGATGTATGAGCTGGTTTAAATGGTTATGATCAATAAAGTTGGCAACTTTATTGATCCCTGAGGTCTCAAGAGGGTTAGATGCTTAAGATCTGAAGTGTTATGTAGTTTTTAGTCCATACATGGGGTTTTGACCCCATCTCTCACATTTTTTACCTAGTTAAGTGAAAGACATGCATTGGACATGCATGTCCACAAAGTAAGGACTTTTATAATAGATATAAGTGTGAAGAATCCTTCTGGAAAGTTTGAGCAAAGGACTTAACAGATTTAGAGCTTAATCAATTAAGTTGTCTTCAACTAGAAACCACGATGTGCCATGTTGCTCGCTACGACGTGGTGATGGGTTTTTGCTACTGTTTTGTCATTTTGTTGCCACGACATGGTGGCAGAGCTGGTCACGACTATTTTGTCGGAGAATAGCCACGACGTGGTGACCGTTGACTTTTTGACCTAATACTTTTGGTCAATTGAGTAGTTTTAGATGATAGAGTAAGGTTTGACCTTGGGTGTTTCATTAGGTGGTGGGTAGCACTCGCTTTTCGTCTGTGAGAGTTTTGGTACTTTTAGCTTCGATTGTAAAGTGAGTATTCTCACTATACTATGTAGGATGCTAGATTGTCTTTGTGACTCTTGAATTGAAGACTAGGATCTGGCCACTGGTATGAATAGGTGTGAAAGGTAGTAAAGGCATGTATTACCCGAAGCACATGATTCACACTTAGATCAGGAAGGGTCACAATGTTACTAAGGCACTAATAATTGAGTTTGTTTTGCTTGTTTCTGTTATTACTTGTGTTTTGGTGATGACTAGGAAAATGATCTTTGTTCAGACCCTAGTGGCCATCGAGTCTGAGTAATACAGATTCGCGTAAGTGAGTTGATTGATGCGATGTAGTAACCGACTTTAGTCGGGAGAATTAAGAAGGAGATTGATCGACGAAAGATTGCAACCTTCGTTAAGGTTGAGTTACCAATAGCTAGAAATGCTACCTTTTATGATGTGGTTGTACCACATTAGAACATGAAGGAAAGTTTCTTCCGTGCTAGTATTTGACTCATAAAAGACAAGAGTCTAGTTCGTTGCACTGTGCAATGGAAGGCCATTAGAGTGTGACCATTCGGTCTGTTACTAAAGCCAAAGTAAAGTCTTTATCTTAGATTCAGTCTACGACCTAACTTGAGAAGGAACGAGAATCTACGATGAAGATTGAGTTTGTAACTTGAAGGTTAGGACTGAAGTCCAACAGATGATGAATAGTGGGTGTAGGTTCGAGTACCACTATCAGCTAAGAAGTCCAAGAGTTTGATGCTCGTGTGGCAAGTCATAAGAGTTACGAATGTGGTAAAGAGAATGAGAAGATGCATGAGGATGTTTGTTGTGCATTTGTGTCCAGATAATTTAGATGTGGTCAAAATAAACAACTGGAGAAAGACAAGTTGATTGTACCAAAGAGGAGGCATGTATAATATTGAGTTCAACAACCATCCTTGTTGCTAGTATTACCCTCTTATACTGTTTTGTACACTTGTACGTTGGTAGACGACTTCTTGCTTATCATGATCTTAATCAGACCATGATTGTGAAATACGAGAAAATCATTCGTGAGCATAAGTAGTGGTACTACGTTAGGGGTGATAAAGTCATTAATATGACAATTAGAAGTTTCTTTTAAGAAGGAAGAAAGTTGCAAATCACATAGACAGAGACAGTGTGGGCTTTGATTGATTGTAGATAGCAACAACTGGGAGTTCAAACCCATTTGGGGGAGACCCAACCGTTGATCCAAAAGTGTGAAAGGCAACTCGACTTTGGATTTAACGTCAGGATCTAGGAGAGTTGCAGCACAAGAAGCTAAAAGAGAGTTATTAGCTTCTATTTTTGTTATGAAGAGTGAATGTTTTGGTTGGAAAGTAAAGACGACATTAAACATCGTGAGGGAACTTGAAACTTTTACCTATGGGTAAATGGAACGGTCTTATCTTAGATCTTATCATCAAGTGTCTTACGATCGTATAGAACTACGAGGTGATATGAGTTGTAATTAACCAAATAATAAAAGTATGCATTTTTGGACATTACAAATATGAGGAATTGGTTCGTAAAACTCATTATCATGAATGAGTAAGAGTTTTGATTATACTCTTATTTTTCTTAAAAACACTTATGTTGGTGATGATGTAAAAATTGTTATAGTCTAACAAAGTCAAAACCCGAAAAGGAGACAAAACAGTTAAGTTCGAAAGCCGAAGGGGATACAAAACAGTTTAGAAATTTGTGTTTCGTGTCGACATCAATTTTAAATGGGTCCTACTTTAAACACACCAATCTATAACATCAATCTATATTATTAGGTTTATTTTTTAGGTTAATATAGTAATTATTATTTGACCTTGCTTTTTAAAGGACTTTATAATTACTTTAATCATTTCTTTATAGATCTATTAGTTTTTAATAAAACAAGACAAAAACAATGTTTACCTTTTTTTCAAAGAATGCCACGACTTTTGTTTTTGCCTGCTTATCAACCTTGCTTTAAAACTTTTTTTTTTCTAATTATTTAATCTTTTAGTAATTAACTTTTTTTACTATTTAAAAATAAATGTTTACTAGTAGTAATAGATATGTATATAAATTTTACGTTGCACGAGTAATAATATAGTGGTTCACGTTATGTAATATTTAAAATAGTTATTTATCTCATAATAATATATATTTCTCTAATAATAATTTATATCTACTGAAAAATACTCAAAAAATATATGGGTTTAATTTATGATTTTGTAATTTATATATAATTAAAAACCTATGAAAAAAACTAATAAAAAATAAAAATATTAAAAGTTGATTAAATATTTTGCCGACGATAACGCTGAAATAGAAGTCATTCGGTACATCAAATAATTATACATATAAAAAATATATATTAGAAGTTATATTTCATCGTTGCTTCGCCGGACCAACAATGGTTATTTGTAAACTACTAGAAAGTAATTATGATGAAAACAATTTCCTAGATTTAATTGTTTAAAAGAAATAGATTGGTGTGTCAAAAGAAATTTCCATTTTAAATTCGTTGTTTGTGTCGACATGAATATTAAATTCATGTTTCGCATCAAACACGAATTTATCTGTTTAAACACATATAGACACAAATTAAATTCATATTGACACGTATAAACACATACGTATGTTGCACGACTACTATGCACACCATGTCAGTTTGAGGAGTAATGCCAAGTGGGGATTGGTTTGTTAATCTCGGTGCCTCTGATTACCCTTTGGGCACAAGTCACCATATTTTTCAATATATTTGAATAACCAGTTACTATATTTCATTTTATTTTCTTTCAATTACCGAATAATGACATGTAATAAAAAAAAAAAAAGCATGCTACATTCCACCTCAGTTAGCAACCGGGTAATTCCTAAATGAACTATATTGAAAAAAAGTTGGAAAACTAATGTCATAAATTAATAAAAAAAATACAGTTTAGTTTACAATTTTACGTATTCTCTTATATCACTTGTATTTAAAAAATTTGAAAATTTGAATTAAAAACATATCCATAACTTTGGTTGATGAACAACAAAGGTTTCACTTGTTTGAATTGATTTTGCATGGATTGCAGAAGTTTGTATCCCAAATGGGAAAAATATCCCAAATGGGAAACCTCTTACGGAAATGTAAATTAGCATGATTACCGCTTACACAGCCCATTTATGATTTTATCAAATTTTACTCTCCCATGTCGACCTCAAAAAATTTAGTAAGATAGAATATTCGTTTATGGCCTTCACATCCACACCGTTCCTTAATATCTGTGGCAAGAACAACCAAACACCAGTCACTGCCACAAACACCACCGTAAGCGGCCCCGACATCGCCCTGTGCAACTGGAACTTGCCTTTTGCCGCCTTCTTCACTGCCACCTCTACAGCCGTACACACACCCTGTAGTACAAAAAACCACGTCACCTCCCACGTTGGCTGAACACGTGTGATATATAGATAGATCAACTCGTGCATTAGCCCCGACACCAGAAAAGTTGCGAAAATCGCCGGCAGCCGGCTCCATAGCTTTCCGAGAACCGGCAACGAGATCTCACGAATCGGATCGTACACAGTAGGCCGGAGGATTCTCGTTACCATAAGGTTCCACCGCCGGCCCCAAAAATCCTGAAGCGATGTAGCAAGGTAAGGCTCATTAAACTGCGGTTCGATCTCAAACTTGAATCCGAGAAAAAACCTAACAAAATACGCAGTGATCGCGAGAACAAGCTCAACACCGAGGTAGACATGGCAACAGTAGAAACCTAAAATCACATACCGATGGAGGTTATCCTGGTACCGATAAGTCCCAACGATTACAGCTAAAATCAATGCTTTAAACGCCAATAGAGTTGGTTTATGCGATGGAACTGAAGCTGAATCTAGAACTGGATCTGAGATATCAGCAACGGCATGTTTAGGATTGATTGGAAGAAGAGCGATGGAGATGAAAATGAAGAAAGGTAACGGCGGATCGGAAGCTAAAGGACCACGATTGAATGCGAGGAGTACGAGTTTGAAATTAGCGAGCCAGACAAGGTAGAAGATGGTGGGGCCGGCGAGATGGACAGAGGAGAGAGGGAGTGGGAGGATGAAGAAGAAGATGATGACGGGTAGGAGAAATACGAACCTGGAGACGCCATTGGAGATCCGAGTTGGTATCAAGTAGCAGTAACCGAGAGAGGTGATGGCTAGAATCCATACTCTGGCAAAAGTTTTGAGTTCTTCGCCGTCCTCCATTTCTCTGTACTTAATTCTTTCATTTTGTATTAAATATATAGTTTATTAGGGTTTATCGAGATATGAATATTCATTAAATATTCATAATATTATTTTATGATATGCACATCTGCAATTGCCCCGCCGTTTCAAATCCATCTACCCCGGCATATGTCATGCAACTCAACTTGTTGTGGTGGCCTGGTGCTGGGTATTTTATTATTATTATTTTTATTATTTTTTATATTTTCTATGATCATAAACCCATGGTTGTCAAAATCGCGATCCGATCCGATCCTATCTTCCTTTAATTTTTTTTTTCAAATGAATTTTTTTTACCATTTTATGTCTTTTACCTTTTACCAATCTACCCCTTATCATTTTTATTGTGACTTATGACTAATATTTTAAAGTTTTTATAACTTTTGAACGAAAAATTAAATGTTTGAAATATTTTTTATGATTAATATTATAAATTAAAATTATATTTTATTTTGTGGGATCTTAGGATCTCGATCCCGATCTTACGATTCCGATTTTGCAAACCCAAACACGATCCTAGGTAGGATCCCGATCTTGACAACCTTGCATAAACCGTTGTTCATTTGTTCACGAGGAGCTGTTAAATTGGGCGGGCCCCTAAGGCTGGAGGGAGTGGTGCCACCGAAACCGCACTCCCTCCTATGCCACGTAGATGCCAACTCAGATTTGTTTTTATTTCATCAACTAGAAACCGTAATGAGGGAGTGGGAAAAAGGTTAGGAGAGAGAAAGAAGATAATTGGTTGTGAGGAGAGAGAGAGAGTGCAAGTAAAGAGGAGAAAAGAGAAAAAGGAGTGCGGCCATGGACTACCGCACTGCGGCCAAAACCGCAGAGAACCGCGGCCTGGGGGCGGTGTGCACGGCTGAGGTGGCACAAAACACAGCCACACCCTTTAGCCTAAAAATCATCTTTCAGAAAATTAACTTAATTTAAGTGAAAACGGAATAAACATTTATAGTATGCTATTTTCTAGTTTTTTGGTCCGACGAAAACATAGTTGTTTTTGCCAAAAACATGTTTTTTTTGGAAAGGATTTTATCGTGCATTGCATTGGTATTAAATTAGAACTTAAAAATACTTGAAAACTCTTTTTACAACAACATATAAAACAACACCAGACAAACATATATGCTAAGTCTAAATGATTAACAATGAAAAAGAAATGCAATTTTTTTCAATTGCACATGGAGAATATGCATATGTGAATATAATTAATAACTTTTGTAGTTGAGTTGTTCAAGTTGTAATAACTTTTGTAGTTGAGTTGGCTAGAGTTGCAACCTTTAATCCAAGTAATTCACCTTCGATTTCCCGAGGTATATATTTTTATTACTATCTCATCTTTTATTTCCTGTTTTTGTGTGTTTTCGAAGGAAAGAAATAGAAGGAAATAAGAGGAATCAAGAGAAAATGGACATTCTTAAGCTTTTTATAAGGAGGGAAAGTGAAGAAATAGATGTTCTTGAGTTTTTCTTCACGAAAGGGAAACAGAGGAAATGTGTTCTCGAGTTTCATTTAAAGAGGGAAAGGGAAGAAAATTGAAGGACTGGGAAGGAAAAGCTTAGCGTGCGTTTAGCTGTGTAAATTTTCCAGTACTCTATGAAAATTTTCAAATTAAATTAATTTTTTTTGAAAACATGATCTGTTGATTCAGTTTTAAATTTTTTTCCAAGAAGATTAGAAATTTTTGTTATCAAGATTGTATATAAATTAGAAAAGTGATTTTTATAGTTTTTCAAAATTTTCTAAATTTATAAAATGAAAACTTCACCGGTTTCAACCACACGTGTTTTCCAAATTTTTTATTGAAAACTGAAAATGAAAACTCAACTCTGGTTTTTTTTTTATTATTATTAAAAACGTTTTTAAAAAAATAAAAACAATTTTACACAACAAAAACACCTTATTTTCTTACACCCTATATATATGCTAAGTTGTTTTAATTATTTAAATAAATTAGAAAGATATCTTAAGTAAAAGAAAACATTCAAATTGAATCATTTTTTAATGTTGAAATAACTTAGCCTTCAAAATCAAGACTTCATTTTCAGTTTTTCCATTCTCTCCTAAACTACACAATCCTTTTGACCACTCTCTCATCCTCATGACCTTGTCTTCCGCCTCCCCAACTCCCACTCTTTCGATTGTCATCTGAACTTGATATGACTTCATTTATTCCGCCTCCAAACTATTAATTTTTCCATTCCGCCTACCTAACTCCTAATCTTTCAACATTCTCAATCTTTTAACCGATACGACATATTTCAAGGTATATCCCTAACATGAAAGCTGACACGAACTCCACATGGAAATAAACAGATTGACATGGCACAACACGTTAATTAAACAGGTTGGGTTAGAATCAAACACTTTCAACCTGTTTAGTGTTTCGACACAACACGACACGATTGCAACCTCTACTTAAAATAACAATAAACACCCACAAAAATAACTCTTAAATGCCTAAAATGGAGTGTCCATCAACTATGAAATGCGAATGAACTAATTCTCGGAAATGCCATATGTAAAGGGGACCACAATATTTAGCTAGATTAACCATGTGGGTGACCCGATAAAAATCGGGTCCCAGATGATGCTTATGTGGTTAGTTTGAAAAAGAAAAGATCGGTTATTTTCTTAAAAATGGCTTGAAGACAGTTAGTTTAGTCAATTTCCAAATAATTTAAATTCAAGTTTCTAAAAAATAAAAATTGATTGTCACCGGATTTTTTATTTTTTATTTTTCTTTTCTTTGCCAGAAAGCCTAATCTTCCTTTCCTTTCTTCTAACTCATGAATGCCAACATACAATTTCCTTTATTTTCCCTTATTTTATTTTCTCTCCATATATTTCTCTTCCCCTTCTTTTTTATTTTCTTTTACGAAAACTCGAGAAGTAGGTGTAATAGATAAACAATTTGAGATGTATAAATACATGTAATTTGAGCATATGTTGATTAATAACAATTGTCAAAACCAAAACCAATCCAGTTCACAAGTACAATAAAGAAATTCCCTCCCCTCCCCTCTCCCCAAAAGAAAAGAAAAAAAAAAAAGTCAAAGTCAAAGTCAAAGTGGTCTTTTGACCTTTCTACCGAAGATTTTCCCATCTTCGACTACTCTTTAAAAATCTAGAAAAACTATACTATTATATTTATTTATGTATATAAAAAGAAAGAAGGTTTTAAAGATTACAGTGAAGCGGTGTCTTCAAGATTGGAAGCACAAGTGGTATCTGAGGCTGCATCATCCATAGACATGTTGAAATAGTCTCCACTAAATGCACCATCATCCCCGTAAAAAGAAGTGGCTGGGGAAGCTTCCGGTGTGACTGCAACTGATGATGGAGTTGATTCTGTCTCTTCGTCACATTGCTGAAGGTAAAAGTACATAATGCTTGCTGTCAACATAAGCATCATTTTTTGGTTCACCTGTCAACCATGGCCAAATAAGTAAAAGATGATGATAATGATACATATATTAAAAGGATAGATTTGGAATTTACCTCCATGATGTCTTCCGGCAACAAGAATATACAACAACCAAGCTTTCGTGCAACACTGATGATATAAGTTGCATTTAACTTCTTCTCATCATCTATCACCAATCATACATATTTTTCATATTTTCAAGTACACCATAAAATGGTCTTTGTTCATAAAAGATAAAGAGAAAGAGAGATGAAGGTTAGTTAAGGGAAAGCATAAAAGAGCATACCAGTTACACCCTTGGTTACAAGGTTCCAATTGACAACCCTGGGCTCTACGGAAGTTAGAAGCTCAAGGAAGAATATCCCATTTGAAAGGCTTTTATCCTACATACACATTAACAAATGACACATGAAGACCCATGACTTAACAATCATAAGAAATAAAGAAAAAACCGACCAAAATGACCTTAAAACTCTCCATTTGGGAAGTTCTGCCTGTGGATTTGACTTTTCTATTGGCCCACCTCTGTATATAACCATCTGTTATCTCATGGGATCGAGATCGCAAGTGCTTTAAAAGTTGAAGCATATTAAACCTCATCAGCTGCCATAAGAAAGCTGAAATGCAAGAAATCATTTTTAATTACAAGAATCCATGCATGATCATTATTTATGTTGTTAATTAATTAATTACCAAGTATGAGCTTCTTATTCCCTTGTACAATGTCGATCCCTGATACGTTGACAAGGGAGAATTTTAATTGTTTTCCAATCCTAACAGCTTGATTGCAATTCTCAACTTTTCTAAATGGCATCTTGATAGGTGGTTTGGTTGTGTGCCTCCAATTGACCGATCCTGGAGAAATCTTATCTAGGATTTCCAGAAGAATCCAACTGCATGAACCAGAGATTCACAATCAAATTAATGTTTCTGAATTTCATCTATTATAAGTCTTAACAAGAGAAACAAACATACAATGAAATAAAATGTTGGTTGGATTAATGGTGGTATTATAAATTATAAATGAGTGTGTTATACTTATATTAGTAGATATTTTTGAATGGATAAGTATAAGATATAGATGTAGATACCCATTTCTGAGATCCTCAAAGACGTTGTTAATATAGGTAGAAATTCCAAGACTATTAATCCAGAGTCTGAAACATCTCTCTTCCCTGGAGACTTGCTCATCATCATTCATCATCTCAGCATAACAGACCTTGCTCTTGCTGCTATCATTTGATAGACCATTCCTGTACATGCATATGTATATATTGTTGGTAAGTTGAGTGAGGAGTCATGAATTTTATTTTGTTATGATATAAAGTGATATGCGGAACCTTTCGTGAAAGAGCTGTGCAACAAAGGCAAGATTTAAATTGGTTGAGCCGTCAAGAATATCCTTTGGAGTCAAGTATCTTTTGCATTTCATCCTCTCGGCATGCTCCAGTACCAGTTTGGCCCGTTCAGCCGGATCATTTGAAACCACTGCACCGGGGCTGCTGTGTTCTGGTGCAAGAACATTAAGCAGGTAAGCATAAGCTTCTCC